GAAGATGGGGACAACCACAATAGCCCACGGACGAACTATTTTTAGGCATCTCAGGGAAATAAGACTTTCCTGTGGGTTTCAAGTCACGATCAGTTTTAAAGTGCAGATTCTTTCCTTTTAGCCACTACTCTAACTGTGACTCGGAACCCAGGATCTCCTAATTTTACTACCAGGATGAGGCACGAGTCGTGTCAGCAACATTCTGGAAAAGGGGTTAGTTATCCCTCCTCCTTGAACACCGTCAGGGACAGCTCTCTTTGTTTTGGACACTTTTCACGGGCTCAAGATTCTTCGTGCTGGAGACTAAAATCTGGCTTGTTGTAACTGCTGGACCACCCACCCGCATCCCGGCTCTTGGTAACAACAGGGGGAGTGCGAGCCTTCTGCCCACAAGACAACTCTGAACCCATGTGGCGGCTTCTCTGGTTCTTCTTAGCTTTCTCTTCTCCATGCTGAACGGCCTCCGTCCCACCTTCACCTGCTTCCTCCGTGATGTGCTTCTGACTCTCCTCTACTGTCATGGCGAACCCACTGCTGTTAATCTCTCAAAGTATGACATCCAAACCACATGTCGTCCTCCATCACCTTGTGCCCTCCCCTCTCTTGACCCAGGTGCAACGCCCGAGGTGGCGACTGCCTTTTGGCAGCCCCGTCCCCCTGCTGACTCACCGCTCACTGTCAAGCAAAACCCCCTCAATCCTCTGCGTGCGTGCGGTTGCTAAGTCAGATCTTCTCGCCATAGTTATGCAACTGTGCTCTGCGACCCAAGGATAAAACCATTCATTCTTGGCTGATCAGCTTTGCCTTGTTAGGTCTGATCCAACTCTCTAGGTGTGATTCATGGTGCTCCTGGACGCTGCCCTCCCCAAGTCCCTTAATTAGCATCTTCTCTGTTTCAAAAACTGGATCTGGGCTTATATGCCTATGCAGCCCTGTCTCTTCATCCCCCAACTCTGTTCCTCTGTTCCTGTCCTTGGGGTCTTCTGAGACAGCCACCCCGGTCCACTTAATCTCCATTGCCACCTTCTGAGTGCCCCACCCCCCTTTATCTGTTTGCCGTCAGGGCACCTGATGTCACTCTTGAATTTCTTTCATCCCCCTTCAGGCTGGGAGTTCCTCAGCCACCATATCTTGTCGGCAATGGTGGGGTCAGGACTCAATTATACTTTGGTGTCCTTGGTCCTAAGTCATCTGGAATTGTCTCTAGTAAATGCAAATCTTGCAGGGAGGTGGGAAGGAAAGGGTTTTTTATTAGTATAGGTTTGAATCGATCTCTGTTCTCTCGGAGGAAAGGCATAGTTGGGTGGATTCAATGATGTAGACTGCTCAAGGAACAGCAAGGTTAGCCTGTGTGTGAAGACTGAATCATGACAGTATGAACGTTGAACGTTACCTTCTGGGCCAACTAACTATATTGACCTGGAGCTTGTGTGTCAAAATTCTGCACTGTATTTTATGCCTATTAGGGTAATGAGCAAATTTGGGGAACTATTCTTCATTTGGTAAAACCTGCATATTTTGAAATCTGCCTTTAGGAATACTTAAGTAATTGGTTTCAGTTTCCTCAATTTCAGCTCCTTATGAGCGCAGTCGGAATGAAAATAGGTAAAACAAAGTTTGCTAATTTCAAATCTGGTTGAAATTGACTCTTACCTTCTTGGTTTCCAAAGTGATGTCCGGTGTCCTTCAGGAGCAACGTGTCTTCTTGGGGGTCATTTCAGAAACCAAAACCAAACACAAACAAAGAACAAGTGAACTCTAAATAAATAAATAAATAAATAAATAAATAAATAAATATATATGTTTATATAACAGTTTAAATAAATATAGAAACTGTGTTTGCTGCAAGTTCTGCTTTTAAAAAGGTACACAGCAGATGTGGGATGGAATTAAATTTGCCACTCCCCCCCCTTTGGTTAAATGATTATTCTTTAAATAATTGGTTAATTACAACATACGGTTTATATCTTTTTAAAAAGTATCTTCTGTGTGCGCAAAGTACCATGTCAGTTCTTTAGGATGAGGTGCAAAGAAGAATAAAGATGGTCTCTGCCCTACGTGAATGCAAAATTTAGTAAGAGTTAAAGAGAAACGATCAAATAAATCGTCAACCAAGCAAAAGTAACATAAATTCTGAAAGAGCCTGATGAAATGCTATGGGGCCTTAGGGAGATGATGCTTCTGGCTGAGAGTAGGGGGCTGTGAGCGGTCAGGAAAAAAAAAAAAAGAAAGGAGGGAGAGGAAATGATCCAAATTTAACCTGGATGCTTAAAGCCAGTGGTTAATTCATTTGGAAATAAGAGAAAGGTGTGAATTGTAGGCAAAGCCTCTTTCAGGCGTGTAGGAAAAACACTCCCTTGAATAGTCTACATTCTCTTAGAGAGGATGAAGGTTAGGGAGGGCAGCTGAAAATTCGACTAGGACTAAAGCATCTCCAGTCTAGGAGTTTATAACCTACGTGATGATCTCTAGGAGCCGTAAGAGTCTGAACATTTTTGACATCAAATTTAATTTAAGCAAACTTCCCATTTATTCCACAGTACTTCTATGGAACCAGGGGACCTGTCATGAAATACCATTTGGGCAGGAAGAGACATTTCAACACTTGGCTTATTATTTTTGTTGCCCTTTCCATCTCTTTCTCTTTTGAGTCTCTGATCATCTCCAGCTATATCCCCTGAAATTCTTACCCAAATTTTCAGGAAAAAATTCAGTGATTACATATTATATTCTGAGTCCTTAGTTTCAAACAAGTAAGACGTGGAGGCAGAATCTGTTTTCTAACACTGGTTCCATCAAGAAGCTCTTGTAATTTCTTTGAACTTTGGTTTCCTTCTGCTAAACGAGACAGATGGACCAGAATAATCTCCAGGATTTCTCTTAGCCCTGTGAATGCATGACAGGAGGTACTCAGGTGGAGACGATGGCCTGGAATCAGTCTCCCAAGCCTGGGGCCCCTCTGATGGATGCAGTGTCAGACGTGACCCAGCCCACCGTCCACAAGGCACGCTGTGCAAGACCAGTCTTGGACAGCAGCTAATCATGCCCACGGGGCATCCTAGGATGGACAGAATGCTTGGGAGAGCTTCTTCCTGCAATCATCTCCCAGAAATCCTGACATGGGAAACAATTTTTAAATAACCATAAAAATTTCAAATAATAGTTCAAGGCAATCACAGAAGAGATATCACAAATTAACATGTTTATTTGCTAACCGCGTGGTGTAACACGTACCTAAACAATTAGGAGAGAGGTGGAATGATGCGTCATATTCAGTTTTATTCTGCAGGTTACACATCTTTTGGTCTCCTAATTGCTTACAGTCTTTTTCCTCCTTGTAAGAGCTTTTTGAAAGGCAATTATCTATCTTCCCGTATTGTCACCTGTCTTACCCTTAACACCAGACCTTACGCTTAGTAGGTCTTCAATAACGACTCCGTGTGGCCGTACCTCCTTGACCTGTAACCTGATGAGGTTTAATCACAGCTACACGGAGCAAACAAGTGGGCACTTGTGAGCACTTACCTTGAGATGCTGCGGCGAAGCAGTTTCGAGAGTGTGGCCCCCCAGCTCTCTTTATACTCCCAAATCTGCCAGCCCAGCACTCCAACTTGGCTATATTTGGGGGATCACCATTTACTTGTGAGATGTAAATGCGTCGTAGCCCTGATCTCTCACTCTTGTTAAATTACTTGGATAAATGACCAGCGGAGGCTGCATAATGCCAAGTCAGCTGCGTAGGGATTTCGACGTTGGACACAGATCTTTGAGACTTAGAGAGTCCTAGGGGCTGAGTGCACTGGGGCAGGGTGTGCTAAGAAGGTCAGTGAAGGGCAGAACCACAGGATGAATTGTCAAGCAATGGGCGATCAATAGCACGGACGGTAAGTCCATCTCAGCTAGCTAACATTGATATGGAATGGTGCGTGCCTCTTCTCAGAAGTTTCGGGAAAACTTAAGATCAACCATTTAACACATCCAGTGTTATTTATTTATTTATTTATTTATTTATTTATTTATTTATTGTTAAAAAAAAAAAAATCCAGTGATGAAGGAAAGCTTTCTAAAACTTTGTATTATCTTGTGTTATGTAATCTGTACCTGGAAGAGGATCTAACTTTTTCTTGCTCACCCAGGCATCTGGGAGGATGATGGAAAGCAGTCATCAGAGTAACTAGTTTTTCGTAGTGGGTTTTTCCCTGTGCTAATTGTTCCTAGATTGTGAAGAATTTTTGTGTTTGTTTTTTAGTTTTTTTTTTTTAATTTTAAAAATGTTTTTACTTATTTTTGAAAGAGAGAGAGAGAGAGCAGGAGCAGGGGAGGAGCAGAGAGAAGGGGAGGAGACACAGAATCCAAAGCAGGCTCCAGGCTCTAAGCTGTCTGCACAGAGCCCGATGTGGGGCTCGAACTCACGAACTGTGAGATCATGACCTGAGCCCAAGTTGGATGCTTAACTGACTGAGCCACCCAGGTGCCCCTTGCTTTTTAGTTTTTACACCTTCAACTTCATGGCCAGACTCTCAGGTGTGATTTCCTTAAAAAAAATTTTTTTTTAATGTTTATTTCTGAGAGAGACAGAGACAGAGAGAGTACAAACGGGAGAGGGGCAAAGAGAGAGGGAGACACAGAATCCGAATCCAAAGCAGGCTCCAGGCTCTGAGCTGTCAGCATAGAGCCTGATGTGGGGCTCAGACTCATGAACCACGAGTTCATGACCTGAGCCGAAGTTGGGCGCTCAACCGACTGAGCCACCCAGGCATCCCAGGTGTGATTTCTTTTTGTGGTTAGTATGCTTGCCTCTACCTGCCTGAGTTTGTTTTTTCTAATCTGGTATAGACCAGGAAGCAGATTACAAAGTTCGAATCATGCTGAAGTTCAGAGTCAGTAAGTTCCACATGAAATTCTGGAGTTCTGATGACAATACATGGTCTTTGTGACAGCTCTTATGGTTGCTTGGGTTTTCTTTCTTTCTTTCTTGCTTGCTTGCTTGCTTGCTAGAACATAAGTGATATTTGAATGTGTAGAAAATTAGAGCCATTGATGGCAACACAGAATGACTTGTTTAAGTCATATATGATCAATGGTGACTCAAGAGTCTCATTCAGTCCTCCAGTGGGTAGTCTGGTACAGGTGGGGCATTGCCACAGGAAAGTTGGCGTGTGCGTAGAGGAGGAACAGGAACAGGAACAAGATGACACTGTGTGTAGAGGAGGAACAGACAGGAATAAGACTTCCACGTGGTGTTTTCCAAAGTAGATTTGGCAGAATACTGCTTCTGAGGGAAGCTGCAAAATAAATGGCCCAGTGGCAAACTGGAAGAATGGCAAACACTGTTGCCAGCCATCAGAGATTCACTGAAGATATTAGCACATTAAGGGATCGGAGCCATCTTTTTCAGTAAACAGGAGTAACTTTCATACCTGTGGATCTGATGGTGCAATCCCATCCTAGTCCCTGTTCCAGAAAACAAGAAGGGAACCAGAAGGCTGTAATCCACAAGGAGGTTGTCTCTGTTCCTTAGCAGCATTTGGCCCAGGAGAAAGCCACAGAGAGCCATCAGCCATAAACACAGCTGCTTTTATTCAAGGGACAGCCTTCTGCGTGTAGCAGATGTTGAGTCGACGTTCCAGCGAATAAATGAATCCAGGGGATTCATGGGGAATCTGTGGAGTGGTAGGAAAGACAATGGAATCAGGCTCAGTTTCACTTAATAGTCGTAGTTTACACTTACTAAGAACTCACCGCATGCCAGGCTTTGTCCATATAGGTTCACTGAAGCTTTGTGATAGTTCCTTCTGTGAGGGGAGCACTAATATCTTTCTAGTGACCTTTTTACAGGCAAGGAAATTGGGCCGCTGGCAGTGGAAGTGAACTGCCTCAGGCCATGTGAAGAGTAAGTGGTGGGAACAAGATTCAAACCTTCTCTGACTCAAGAACCTGTTCCTGTAAGCTTTTGCTTCCACAAGCATGTCAGTTTTGGGTGCCTGTTCAGCACGAGCTTCTGTGCTTGCAGTGGGCAACGGGGATGCAAAACGGGGCCATTGCCTCAAAAGAGCTGATAAAAGACGTGGGGACAGGGCCCCTGGATGGGAAAGGAGAAGCCACTTTTCCAAGGTTCAGCTAAGTGTCCGAATGAGTGGGATGGGCCATGGATTAGATGTAAGCACAAGGCATTTGAACCCCCTAAAGCATGTTGTATATGCAAAATCTCATCAGAATTGTTACTGGTGAGTGATACTGCTTTGGAGGAGAGAGAGATCTGGAAGGAAGTCGGCGGCGGCCGGGGGGGGGGGGGGCTGCAGAGATAATGATGAACTTTTTGTAGTAGTTTCTAGTTCATCTTGCAGTTTCGTATATTATGTTTGATTTTCTCTACCAGCCTGAGGGGTTTATGTTGTTCATATTCATATTATTATTATTTGTTTAATTTTTTAAACATTTATTTATTTCTGAGAGACAGAGAGACAGAGCACGAGTGGGGGAGGGGCAGAGAGAGAGGGAGACACAGAATCTGAAGCAGGCTCCAGGCTCTGAGCTGTCAGCACAGAGCCCAACGTGGGGCTTGAACCCACAAACCATGAAATCGTGACCTGAGTTGAAGTCGGACACTTAACCTACTGAGCCACGAGCTTCCAAGGCCCAGTGAAGGAGTTGGGACATTGTTCTGAGATCACTGGGGGATCTTTAGATGTTCTGAGCAGCACAGTGAACATATATATGTAAAGATATTTGATGATGCTTCTAGAACTGATGGTAGGATATAATGGAGAGGGCAGAACCCAGGGGAGCCCAGAACCATTTAGCAACTATTTAAAAAACCTTGCTGCAAAACTCGCTGAGATGATTACACAGACTCAGAGCCTGCGGGCAGGCAGTTAGAGAGTTAGCATTATCCCCTGGATGGCCCTACAAACTCAGATCTGTGTGAAAACTCTCCACAGCCCCGGAAGGCTGGCCTTCACAATGGTCGTGCCCTGCTGTCTCTGAGTCCATCCTGCAGATCCAAGGAGGAGAAGATTAATGTGGATCAAACTTTTTCCGCCTCACTGTACCATTTAGGTATAGCGAGAAAAGAAAATGTTTAAACCTTGGAGATGAAAAGATCTCTATGTGCCACAGATTTATTGTTTTGAGTCTTAACCCCGCATTGTATCAGTACATTAAAATCTACTTGTGTTGAATACAAAAATAATCATGGTGTGAAATAAGGAGGGCCTTGATTAAGTGAGATAGAATGAGATTTAAAGGGAGAGAGAGGGGCGCCTGGGAGGCTCACTTGATTGAGCGTCTGACCTCGGCTCCAGTCATGATCTCATGGTTTGTGGGTCTGAGCCACGCATCGGGCTCCGTGCTGACAGCTCAGAGCCTGGAGCCTGCTTCAGATTCTGTGTCTCTGTCTCTTTCTGCCCCTTCCCTGCTCATGCTCTGTCTCTCTCTCTCTCTGAAAAGTAAATAAACATTAAAAATAAATAAATAGATAGATAGATAGATAGATAGATAGATAGATAAAAAGAAAGAGAAAACCCAAGGGATACCCTGAAGGTAGCATCCATGGGACTTAGATGGCTTCCAGGTTTGACCGCCTTTCATCTAGCCCTTATTTCAGCCTGGGAATCTAGGGGCATGACCCCAGCCCCAAGGAAGTACAGGAGAGAAAGAGGAGTTTAGATTTTCAACGTGTTGAACTTGAGATGACAGGATGGAGCGACAAGTGTTCAAAGTTTAAAGAAGTCAAGGCTGAAGACCATAGGTCTATGGGGAAGGGGACTTTTTGGGGGGAGGGGAGCTGCCACCTGTATGGGGCAACACTTGAACTCATTAAGGAGGTTAAGCTCTCTCAGAAGAAGGCTGCATGTTTAGGAGGTGAGAGGAGGGAACGCAGAGTGGGGAGGAAAGGTCATTCTGCGGGTGGGCAAATACCTGAGTGAGGTTTCTTTGGAGCCAAAGGGAACCAGTGGGTTTGCATTTTACTTCTGCCAGTTAGTGACTGTGGCAAGTCACATCACCCCTTTTACCAACTGTGCTGTTTTCCCTTCAGCTGCAAAAGCATATGGATAATTCTGTTTCTGCCTAAGCAATGTGGACGGTGTGGGGGATCAAACAAAATACCGTCATTTCCATCTTGATCTGGGTGTCTCTGCACGCAGCCTGTTTCTAGCTCATGCCAAACACTATGTTTCCATCTGCATCATCCTTGATATAGACCACAGCAAATAATCCATCAGCACCAAAAACCCAAGAGAGCAACATGGACTTTATGAAAGATTTTGTGGTGGGAAGACGTGGAAGAGTAGGGTTATATTACACTCCCTAGAGTTAAGTATTCAAAGTGTGCATCAGAAATGTCAGGTCTACAAACTCCATTTTCCTTCACAAGGATGCTGGTGGTTTATTTCCTTTCCTCCCCGGAGTGTCTCCCCCAACTCTTCCTGGTACTCAGCTCTGTTATGGGAGCCCTTCAGTTCTGCCATTCCTATTCAGCTGATTACTCAACAAAATAAAAGTCCTCAAGTAAAGTAAAGTAGAAGACTACTTTTGGCTTTAGTAAGTGGGGTGACCGCCTATTTTTACACTCATATGCCCTTTTGGGGGTCTCATCTTTATCCCACTGCTACCGCCTGCCATAGTCCATAGCTCACACAACCACACCATCATCCTATCTCTCCCAGACCTGAGAGGAGATCTGTGAACAAGGGCTTTCTCCATTCTTGTGACAAAATCGTTTTGTGAACTCGAAAGCAAAGGGAACTTTATTATTAGAGTCAGAACAAGTCAAGGGCGGTGATATTTTCAAGAGAGAGGGTCTAATGGAGACCACTATAGAGAAGCCAGAGAAAAAGAAGACCGAAAAGGGCATTGCATTGGTCAGGGAGGTGATCTTGACATTAATGTCAGCAGGATGGTGGGGGTGGAAGCTTTGATGGCAAAGGATTAAGGAGTGAGCAGGTGTCAAGGAGGAGGGAAACGTTTTCCTGATTTTCCTAGGAGCAAATCTCTCCACCAATCACTATGCAAGATGCATTCAGAGGAAGCATAGATTTGGATGGTGCAAGAAAGAGAGAGGCAGTAGCAGGGCCAAATAGAGAGGACTAGGAAATAAGTGTGACCAAGGTCATTCCTCAGAGGGCTACTTGAGAAGAAAGGGCAATTAATTGTGCTGGTAGCGGGATCATACCTTACCCCTCACAGCCATGTAAGAGCTTATGTAACAGTTGAAATTTCAGCAAGCAGCAGGAAGTTCCCTAGCCAGGGACAGAAATTTCTGGGTGAAAGTCATAGGACAGGTACATTACTGAGTGACACTAATTCATATTTGCATTGCCTAATTAAAGATTTGGGTGAGAATATTAGATCCCAGAACCAGAGTTGGGGGGGGGGGGGCGCTGGAATATTATCTAATCTAATTCTGACCGTACAGAATCAGAAATTGAGGTTCCAGACAAATTACCTAATTAATGCTACAGGTGGAAACAGACTCCCTTCCTGTTCTACTTTCAAACCCAAGAGACCTAATTCAGAACTTGTTCAAATGCAACATATACCCTTCTTCACTGCTGGCATTCATACATAGGATTTTTGCAAAGCACAGTTGATAGGGGATTATCAAAAGAATCATTTAAATAGATTCTCCTTAAATCTCAATGAGGATATAGATCGATCAGCTTTACACGTGGGAAAACTGAGGCCTGGCAAGGTTGAGCGGCTAGTCACACAGCTAGTAAGTGGCAGAGGGGCACTAGAACAAACATCTTTGACTCCAAGTCTGGTTTGTGTTTTTGCTCAAGGCAGCTGCTTTTGGCTTTGCAAGATCCTGTAAGACACTAATGCTCTCAGAATTATACACGCTTCTCAGAATTACACACAAACCAGGCAACCCTCTCTGAAACAACATGGGAGAGATTGTGTGGATGGTCTGGGAACACTGTGTTCAAAGAAGAAATCCTACTGGCCAGGTCTGCTCTGTAAACTGGAGACTTCCCTGCTTGGCCTCATAATCTGGACTGATGCCCTGCCAGCAGTAGGGTCTCCTGTCATTTGCGTGTCATTTTTGTCTGTTAGTTGTGGTTTGGTTACTTTGGTTGCTTAAAGCCCCATTAGAACTAGGAACAGTATGACTGATTACTTTTAATTACTACTGTTGGGGGGCGCCTGGGTGGCTCACTCCGTTGAGTGTCCGACTTTGGCTCAGATCATGATCTCATGGTTCGTGAGTTTGAGCCCCACATCAGGCTCTGTGCTGATAACTCAGAGCTTGGAGACTGCTTCGGATTCTGTGTCTCTGTCTCTCTGTGCCCCCCACTCCCTGCTTGTGCTCTGTCTCTGTCTCTCTCTCTGTCAAAAGTAAATACACATTAAAAATTTTTTTTTTAATTACTACTGTTGGGATCTTAAATGATGTATTCTAAAATACGTGTATTCTTTGCCAGACATAGCCAAAATGTATATTTATGTTGTTAAGATCTGCATGCAATGTAGTAATTAAGAATGGACCTTGAGAGTCACAATGCTGAGGTTCAGATCCTGATTTCATAATTTAAAATTTTTTTTTTTCAACATTTATTTATTTTTGGGACAGAGAGACACAGAGCATGAACGGGGGAGGTGCAGAGAGAGAGGGAGACACAGAATCGGAAACAGGCTCCAGGCTCCGAGTCATCAGCCCAGAGCCCGACGCGGGGCTCGAACTCACAGACCGCGAGATCGTGACCTGGCTGAAGTCGGACGCCTAACCGACTGCGCCACCCAGGCGCCCCCCTGATTTCATAATTTAAACTGAATTTGGGGCAAGTTATTTAACTTTTTCTGAGCTTGTTTCTTTATCTGTAAAACGGGGATAATAACAAAACCTAACTCATGGGGTTCTTATGATGGTTACGTTAATGAATGCACGGCAGGGTATTATTTGGAAGTGATTCCATAGTTTGGGAAAGGGAAGAGTAGGCAGTGCCATGTCAGGAGGACAGCCTGAGATTTAGAAACCAGGAGCTTTCTCTAGAGCTTTCTCTGTCAGTGCCAGGGCGCTCTGGAAGCCAGGACAATGCCATCTTTGCTGTTATTTCCTGTCTCTTATGTTGCTGTTTGGTGAAGCTCACCAGATGACCACACCCTGACCATTGTCCATCCAGTCCTCCCACCCTACCCAATGCGTTTAGCCAATTTCCTGTTCAGATGGCGAAGAACACTCTTAAGTCAACAGCACCCCTCCTCCCCCAAACACACACTCATACACACAACAATAAGAAAAAACATGCAAGATGGAGCCTGGATACTGGAAAGCAGCATGACCAACTATCCTAGTTTGTGTGGGATTGAAGAAGTTCCTGAGACTTTCAGTTTTAAGGTCAGTACAGTCCTGGGTAAATCCAGATAAGTTCATCACCCTACCTGAAAGGTTGTTGGGGGGGGGGGGGGGGTATGATGGCAAAGCCCTCGAACCTGTCTGAGATGGGGCTACCTAGAACCAGCTTTCGATCTCCCACCATGCCAGGATGGTGACAGAATTCATACCTGGAATTGCTAATTTTGAGGCTGTCATGCACAGAACCAGCAACATAGTGAGCATACACTCATTCAATCGTTTATTCAACAAACATTCATTGAGCACCTACTATGCGCTGGATTTTAAGTGCTGGAGAACAAAATAGGCAAAGTCTCGGGATGCCTGCGTGGCTCAGTTGGTTAAGTGTCCAACTTCAGCTCAGGTCATGATCTCACAGTTTGTGAGTTCCAGACCCACATCAGTCTCTGCTGACAGCTCAAAGCCTAGAGCCTGCTGGGATTGTGTCTCCCTCTTTCTCTGTCCCTCTCCAGCTCGTACTCTCTCTCTGTGTCTCTCAAAAATTAATAAACATTAAAAAAATTTTTTTTAAATAGGCAAAGTCTCTGCCTTCCTGGAAATTCTTTTCCAGTGTGTATGCATTATTGTCTAGGGACAGACAATAAACAAACACCTGATGTCAATTAGCGATGAATGCTCCGAAGGAAAGGCAAAGCAGGATCAGGAAATAGCGGTTGTGTGGTGTCTAAACTGATAAATCAGGGAAAGTTTCTCTGAAGAGGTGATCTTTGAATAGACACGAAGTGAAGGAGCAAGCCATTAGAAGGCCCTGGGAGGTGAGTGTGCCTGCACAGGAAGGGAAAAAAGGCCAGTAGGGCAGGGACAAAGGGAGCCAGGGAAATAGTAGCAGGGAATGAAGTGGCACAGGTGGCTAGGGGCCAGATGGTTTGGAGCCTTGCAAACTAAGGTAAGGACTTCGGGTTTTAAATGTCAGCTGTCATTATAATGGCAGCTTTGTTCTTTTTTATTGCATGCTGAGTGTGCGCCCTAGCAGCAGCTCTGCTTCATTCAGTCCAATGGAAAGAATTGGGCTCCTGAAGATACTGTTCCGGCCATTGAGGATAAAAAGCTGATTCTCCGTTTATACTCCAGTTGGGGTTTGGAGAGGGAGAAGTGGGTCACAGCTCTGAAAATGCGGGAAAACTCACCTGCCCTGCGTGGGCTTCGGGGGACGCGCCGTGAAACTCCTGGAAATAAACAGTTTGAATTTCCCAGAGAGGGGAGGGGCCACTTCCGGTGCGCCGCAGGGCATCATGGGAGGAGTCGGGTGGAGGGAAGAAAAGGCCGGAAGTGGCCCGCCGCCATTGTTCGGACCGAGCTGAGGCGAGGGCGTGGCGTTGCCGGTGAGTGAGCGTGTGGGGTTTGTGAGGGAGGAGCGCCTCGCGCGTCCTCAGGACCTATTCGCGCTGGCGATGACAGAGAATAGCCGCAGGAGGCCGGGTGGTGGCGTGGGGATGAAACTGGGCTTGGGGCACGAACTTGAAGGCGGGGCCGTTAGAACCTTCTGGAAAATTCTTGAGTCTCCCACATTGCACAGGGCGCGGGGTTCAGTCAAACATATCTGTCATGCACGTCATGCCCCTCCGGTTTGCGTTGCGCGCCGTGGGATTCAGCGGCATTGTTTTCCAGAATCCCGAGGAGGAGGACTGTGTTGCCCAAAAGGCACCACCTTTCCCGCCCACGCTCGTCACGCGGGTGTGTCACGCTGTGAGCCCTTGTCCTTTGAACCTCTGACTCTAGTAGCTCCGTTTCCCCGGAGCGAGCCGTGAACCCCGGTTTCTGGGTGAACCCGTGAAGGTCAGGCCGCCGTGGGCCGAGAAGAGCCCTGCGTTGGGCGCTGTCCCCAAGGGGACTGTTTTTCTCCTTGGACACCGCGCGGGCTCTGTTTTCCCTTGTGGGCTCCGGAAGCGGCCTCTTGGTGGCCCTCGGGGGCAGGAGGGAGGAATCAGGCTGGTAAATCCCATCCCTTAAGCAGAGGTTCTTTCCATCTGCCCACAGCCGAGTCCTCGGCTTCCCACTTCGGAAAAAATGTGACCGATGAGGTCCGCCGTGAAGGTGGCCGGGGACACTGGTATGTGTGACATGTGCCCGGACCTCTGCCACGGCCAGGAGGCCGAGTTTACCGTTTGCGCCCTGACAGCTGCGGTGTCAGCCCCGGAATGTTAATCCGGCCCGAAAGCTTGTGTGACAGGGAGCAACTCCGAGCAGCTGTGCTAACGGTCTCATCTGTCACATGACCCCGTCCTCTTCACCTTGCTGTTGTCCGTTGTGGCCTCGTCTTGGCTGAGAAGTGGGTAGGAAATCTCCTTAAGGAGCAGGTGTTATTTACTCACTTATTTAAAAAAATGTGAGCCTTTACAAAAAAAAAATTCCAAAAGTAGTGTTTGCATTCTAGAAAGACTGACAAATATAATCAAACACGGAAGGGGAATTTTAAATCACTCCTAAAATTTTGGGGGCCCCTGGGTGGCTCAGTCGGTTAAGCGTCTGACTTCGGCTCAGGTCATGATCTCACGGTGGGTGGGTTCGAGCCCCGCGTGGGGCTCTGTGCTGACAGCTCAGAGCCTGGAGGCTGCTTCGGATTCCGCGTCTCCCTCTCTGTCTCTCTCTGCCCCTCCCCCACTCATGCTCTGTCTGTCTTTCTCTCTCTCTCTCAAAAATGAATTTGCACCCCAAAAAATTAAAATTTTAGCATAGGGCTGGTTTATCTAAAATTTGGCCTAAATCCTTTTACACTTTCCCCCCATGTTTGTAAACATCTGCACATTTTTTTTTTTTTTTTTAAGTAGGTTTCTGCCCAGTGCAGGGGTCCAATGTGGAGCTTGAACTCACCACCCTGAGGTCAAGACCTGAGCTGAGATCATGAGTCTGAGGCTTATTCACCCAGGCACGCCCACATACACAATATTTTTAAGCACATGCACAACTGGGATATGATCCTGAAAGCATGATTCTGTGTCCTGCCTTTAAAATTTAAGAGATGATGAAAAACTTCTCATGGTGCTAACTCTTCTTCCACATCATGATTTTTTAAAAAAGTTTATTTATTTATTTTGAGAGAGGGAGAGCACCCGTGAGCAGGGGACGGGCAGAGAGAGAATCCCAAGCAGGCTCCTTGCTATCAGCGCAGAGCCAGATGCAGGGCTTGGACTCAGGAACATGAGATCATGACCTGAGCAGAAATCAAGAGTTGAACACTTATTTGACTGAGCCACCCAGGCGCCCCCACCCCCCCATCACGATTACTTAGCATTCCATCCTGTGAAGGTACCATAACTTACCCAGTTTTCTATTGACAATTTAGGTGCTCTAATTTTTTGTGCCTTGAAATATCCTAGTAAGTGTATGTCCACATAAATGTTTTTATGCATATCTTTAATTATGAAATTTAGAAAATAGACTTTGTGGTCAAAGGCTATAGATGTTTTAAGGTTTGCAATAATGGAGTCCCTGGTATTGCAGTCTCCATAGCAATGATATTTTGTAGGAAAACAAAAAGTATTCATTAATGATTGTGCTGATCATCAAATGTTGTAAATATGCAATAATTTTTTTTTTTTATTTTTTTTTAATGTTTATTTTTTTGGGACAGAGAGAGACAGAGCATGAACGGGGGAGGGGCAGAGAGAGAGGGAGACACAGAATCAGAAACAGGGTCCAGGCTCTGAGCCATCAGCCCAGAGCCCGACGCGGGGCTCGAACTCACGGACCGCGAGATCGTGACCTGGCTGAAGTCGGACACTTAACCGACTGCGCCACCCAGGCGCCCCTAAATATGCAATAATTAAGGCAACAACCTGATTGCAAAATAAGATGACAGATCTTGCCAAAATTGCAGAATTTAATGAAATTGATGGAAGTAGTATTAGAAATCTGCTTGAATTTTGGAAAGTATGGATGCAGCAGCAGTGAACTAGTTAACAAGTGAAGAACTGAAAATAGTGAAGCTGATCCAGTGTTTCACGAGAACTGAGTTCAGAATCAAAGGATTAGGAAGGCCCTTAAAAATAATGAAGCCATTACACATTTTTTGCAAAAAATGAGACATTCTTTATGATTGCATTGCAAAACTTTAACCTAATGGATGCCATACATAGTGTGTAAGACTGGGAACTTTCCCTTTTCTCCCAACTCCTTTGTTGATTCCTTCTTTATTCTAAGAATTAGCAGAGAGTTGCAATTACAAGCTAAATCTTGTGAAATATAATAGAAAATAAACTTACTTCAGTAATTTTTGTTTTATTTTATTATTTTTTTATTTTTATTTGTTTTTGAGAGAGAAAGAGAGAGGGAGGGAGTGCACACAAGTAGGGGGAAGGTCAGAGAGGGAGACACAGAATCCAAAGCAGGCTCCAGGCTCTGAGGTGTCAGCACAAAACTGGATGCGGGGCTCAAACTCACAAACCCTGAGCTCATGACCTCAGCTGAAGTCAGACACTTAACCAACTAAGCCACCCAGGTGCCCCAAGTTTGGTTTTATTTTTAAGGCAAAATCCCAATCAGATTCTTTCCCCAGAATTTACTATGCAGTTTTGGACTTCATTTTAATTTAGATTCACTTTAAAAGGGTTGTTTTCCCAGATGACATGTTTGTCTATATAGAAAATTGCAAGGAATTTATAAAAAACTTCCAGACTACTAAGTGCGTTCAGTAGGGTTTCATACAAAAATCAGTTGTATTTCTATATGCTATGTGCTAGTAACAAACATATGGATATCAAAATTAAAAATATAATACCATTTACAATTGCTTAAAAGCAAAAAGAAAGGAGGGCCTCCTTGGTGGCTCAGTTAAGCATCTGACTTCACTCAGGTCACGATCTCACAGTTTCATGGGTTTGAACCCTGTGTTGGGCTCTGTGCCGACCACTCAGAGCCTGGAGTCTGCTTTGGATTTTGTGTCTCCCCCTCTCTCTCTGCCCCTCCCCTGTTCTCTCTCTCTCTCTCTCTCAAAAATAAATAAAGATTAAAAAATTTTTTTAAAAAGAAGAGAAATTAAGAAAAAATAAAGGAAAAGAAAAATTTAGGTGTGAATCTAACAAAACATGTATAGAACTCTATATGCCAAAAACTACAAAACCACTGATGAAAGAAATCATGGATCTAGATAAATGGAGAGATATACTAACTTCATGAATTGGAAGAATCAACAGAGTATGTTAATTTCCCCACAGTGATAAACAGATTTAATACATTTGCTATCAAAAATTCTAACTGTGGCTTTAAAGTTTGACATACAGTATTCTAATTATCTTACCAAAGCACTGTAATTGTAGTATGTCCCTCAATGAAAAATTATAAACAGCTTTATGGAGGTATAATGACATATTACATACAGCACATATTTAGAGTGTATTGACATGTGCCTATGCTCTGATGCCATCATCTGAGTCAAGACAATGAACATGTCTGTCATCCTGAAAAGTTTCCTTCTGCTCCTTTGTAATTCCCCCTGGTGACCACTGGTCAGCTTTCAATAACTACAGATTAATTTTTATTTTCTAGAATTTTATATAAATGGAATAATAGAGTTTATAATTTTTGGGTGGGTTGTCTTCTTTACTAAGCATAATTAGTTGAAGAATCATCCACTTTTTCGTATGTTAACAATTTATTTCTTTTCATTGCTGAGTAACGTTCCATTGTATGGATTTACCCCAGTTCATTTCTCCATTCACTTGTTCATGGACTTTTGGGTTGTTTCCATTTTGGGGTTATTACAAATAAATATATTATGGATATTTCTTTTGGGCAAATAACTAGGTGTGTAATGAGTAGAACAAATGGATTATTTCTAAACTTTTGAAGAAGCTGCCAAACTATTTTTTTTTAATTTTTATTTATTTGTTTTTTAAGAGGGAGAGAGTGCAAGTAGGGGAGAGGGGCAGAGTGGGGGGGGGGGAGAGAGAGAGAGAGAGGGAGAGAGAGAGAAAGAATCCTAAGGAGGGTCCACTCTCAGTGTGGAGCCCAACTCAGGGCTTGATTCTGTGACGTGGGTATCATGACGTGAGCCAAAATCAAGAGTCGATGTTCAACTGACTGAGCCACCCAGGCACTGTTGCCAAACTATTTTTTTTAAATTAAATTTAGGTTAGTTAACATGTAGCAGTCTTGGTTTTAGGAGTAGAATTTAGTGATTTATCACTTACATATAGCACCCAGTGCTCATCCTAACAAGTGCCCTCCTTAATGCCCATCCCCCATTTAGCCACCCACCCCCTCATCCACCTCCCTCCATTAACCCTCAGTTT